TTCAGTGCTGCTGTACATGAATGATTTCTTACACCCTTGAGAACTGTCAGCCTGAGTAGTGGAATGGGACTGTGAGATGTTGTTATCCTCATCAAAATTTTCTTTTTCTTGGCTTTGTTTTTATGCGACTAACAATTAGCAGTGACGGATTAGTGAACAGTGTTTCTGAAGCGCATGGATTCATATGCAGCCTTCTCGAATGCAACCCTGCTCGCAGTGCACACCAATTGGCTATAAACAGGAGAACAGCTTTGCCACTTAAGTGTATGATTTTATGGTATGAGTGAGGTTGAGTGCCTGTGTGAGTTGTGCTTGGATAGTTGTATTGATTTGTGTGGGTGGTAAATAAAGGGTGTGTGCTGCAGTAATGTGTGTTTGGGGGTCATTGTGTGCTGATTGTGTTGTGGGGGGGTTGTGTTGGTTTGTATCGGAGGAGTTTTGCTGGGAGATTTGTGTTGATTTGTACAGGCAGCAGTTGGGAGCACGGGTGTGGCCACTGAGCCAAGTAATTCATGATCTGTGCAGTCTCTCGCTCAGATAACCAATGAAATCTTTGCATTCAAATTAGCTGTGGAGTAAGGGTGATGGCTGGTTGAGTTAACTCTGATATCACAATGGTCTAGGACTCTTGGCATGGCATAGAGTCACGCCTTACTGCAGCTGTGAACCATGCAGGTGTAATGTGTAAAGTCAAAATGGCTCAGATCTTAACAATTGCATGATAACTGACCATGACACCCAGTAACGATTCACCTTGCTGATCTACTGAACACAAAGAGCTCTCGGCCATGCTTGTAGTTGCTTCCATCGTGTTATACTGACTTACCAGACATTTTAGGCTTCATGCGACACACGTAGTGACGTTCCTGAACTCTGAACAGATGTATCTGTCTTTACAATAAGAATGTACTTTAGTAAAATGCTCAGTTTGGAGAGTTGCCTTATTTTAAAATCAAAATAATGTATACTTCACACTTAGTTTTCACACCAATGTTTTTACAAGCAATGTATTACGCCATACGATAAGCATGCTGTGCCCAGGTATGAAGGATAGCCTGCTAATAATTAGGACTCCAGAGATCTGGGTCAGATGCCTGACTGTGCTGCAGACTTCCTGTGCGACCCCGGCAAATCAGTCAGCCTCTCTTTGCCTCAGTTTCCCCATCTGCAAAATGAGGCTGATAATACTATAAGTAACTGGCTAGTGAGGAGGTGCACCATGGCCCTCAACTGGATGGATTTCTAAGTGCTCAGTTGCGTATCACAAGCCCCATTCCGCTAGCAGCTGGTAGGTATTTTCTTCCTCTGAGTGGTAGTGGCTCGTGCTTTTAGAGCAGGAAGATCTGAATTCTCTACTGGTTGTTACCCCGAAGAGACAAGTGGCCGTAGTGTGCAGCACAGTGACCACCTTGAAGTCCCAAGCAGCAACAGATTTGTTACTTAATACAAATGTATCATGGCACTAAACAAAACAAGTTCTGTAAAATCCTTTCATTCCCTCATATGGAAAGAACCAAAAAGAGGCACAGTTTCATTATTATTAGATCCATTTTACAGATGGGGAAAAATGAAATGCAGAGCAATGAAGTGACTTGTCCTAGAGGCAGAGCTGAGAATGCATGAGTTCTGTCCCCCACTACACAACATGTCCTGGAAAACGTTATAAATGTTCTATTAGACGCAAGTCTGCTGATACTTCACCTAGTTCCTGAGAGGGGATGGGTTGCAGGCAGGTGGTCCTGTGCAGTTTTATTTACTGAGGTCTCGTCTACTCGAGAAAACTGCATTGCTTTGACTCAAGGTGTGGTTTAGCTAAACTGGTGCAGATCCCTGTGTGAATGCTCTTATTTCCATGTAAGAAGGACTTATTGCAGTTTAACATAAATCAATTAGAAATTGGTTTTAGCTCTCTCACTGTAAGCCACTTAAACCAAAATAAGAGCATCCACACTAGAGCCTACATCAGCTTAACTAAATTGGTTTAGACGCTGATTTAAATTACACATTCATGTAGACAAAGCCTGAGAGACATCTGCACAGAGACAGAGGATCTGCCCTAGGGTCCTTCGTTGCTTAGTTCATCTGCTTCTGCTGCTCATGTTCTGCCTGAGGTCATCTTCTTATGTGATATCATGCTTAGCTGCCATGAAGAGGTGGATGTCACCTGCTTGGGATCCTACAGAGCGGATGACTCTCAAAGCTGCTAGGCTCCTGTTGTCATGCTGTGTCTTTAAAACTTAAAACAGCACAAGGGAAACAGAAAGGACAATAGCAAAATTCTCCATGCCATGTTGCTCAATTGCATTTCCATGAGATGTTGTTATGCACGATGTACAGAGGGGCAAATGGCTCCTTTGCTGTTCCCAAAAGGCAGAGATAGACCTGGACAGTGTCAATTCCAGATCCAGAATTTGAGCCTCATACATGCAAAATTTGGGAGTGCTTGGCCAGGGGGATTGGATCAGACCCAGCTGTTCTTCTGTATTTTTATTTATTTGTATTATGGTAGCATTGAGTCCCCAGCTCCATTGTGCGAGGCACTGTACATGCACATAATGATTCTTTCAATTGTTTCTGGGCTCAACTGGTAGTTGTCCTTCACCTGGTGAGGAAGACCTGGTATCAGGGAACAATAACACAATTAGGCTCCTGGGGTAGGGCGATCAAGTGGCTTAGCTGGCCTAAGATTTGGGCTTATTTCTCATTCCAGTCTGATATTGCATTTTAGTGCCACATCCACGCCTGCTTCTGTGAATTGCATTTTATGAGGCTGTCAAGGTTCCTTCCCCATTCTGAACGCTAGGGTACAGATGTGGAGACCTGCATGAAAAACCTCCTAAGCTTATCTTTACCAGCTTAGGTCAAAACTCCCCCAAGGTACAAAATATTCCACCCTTTGTCCTTGGATTGGCCGCTACCACCACCAAATAAATACTGGTTACTGGGGAAGAGCTGTTTGGAAACGTCTTTCCCCCCAAAATACTTCCCAAAACCTTGCACCCCACTTCCTGGACAAGGTTTGGTAAAAAGCCTCACCAATTTGCCTAGGTGACTACAGACCCAGACCCTTGGATCTTAAGAACAATGAACAATCCTCCCAACACTTGCACCCCCCCTTTCCTGGGAAATGTTGGATAAAAAGCCTCACCAATTTGCATAGGTGACCACAGACCCAAACCCTTGGATCTGAGAACAATGAAAAAGCATTCAGTTTTCTTAAAGAAGACTTTTAATAGAAATAGAAGTAAATAGAAGTAAAGAAATCACCTCTGTAAAATCAGGATGGTAGATACCTTACAGGGTAATTAGATTCAAAACATAGAGAATCCCTCTAGGCAAAAACTTAAGTTACAAAAAAGATACACAGACAGAAATAGTTATTCTATTCAGCACAATTCTTTTCTCAGCCATTTAAAGAAATCATAATCTAACACGTACCTAGCTAGATTACTTACTAAAAGTTCTAAGACTCCATTCCTGGTCTATCCCCGGCAGAAAAAGCATATAGACAGACCGAGACTCTTTGTTTCTCTCCCTCCTCCCAGCTTTTGAAAGTATCTTGTCTCCTCATTGGTCATTTTGGTCAGGTGCCAGCGAGGTTACCTTTAGCTTCTTAACCCTTTACAAGTGAGAGGAGCTTTTCCCTGGCCAGGAGGGATTTCAAAGGGGTTTACCCTTCCCTTTATATTTATGACAGAGGCCAAGATGAAAACAAAGGGAATTCGCTGCTGCTTCTGTTCACCAGCCGTGTGCGCCCTTTAAACCAGGAGTTCTCCGCCTTTTTCTTTCTGAGGTCTACCCCCAACGTGCAGTACAAACTCCACGGCCTGCCTGGGCCACATCTGTTTTTCTGCATAGAAAAGCCAGGGCCGGCATTAGGGGGTAGCAAGCAGGGCAATTGCCTGGGGCCCCACACCACAGGCTTTGGCATCAGCCCCAGATGGCAGGGGTCCCGTACAGCAGGTCTTCATCTTTCTACCCTGGGCTCCAGCAAGTCTAATGCCGGCTCTGCTTGGCGGACCCCCTGAAACCAGCTTGCGGCCTTCCAGTGAGCCCCAGACTCCAAGTTGAAAACCACTGCTTTAAACCACTGTGTGGATCACACACAGCCAACTTCTGCCTTTTCTTCTCTGAGGCTGGGAACTGACTATAGATCTCCTGAGCCCCACTCCAGTGCCTTAACCACAAGCCCATCCTTCCTTTCTGCTCTAACGAATAGTGCATGCAGGGTACAGAAGGACAAAGAAGAGAAGCAGCTGGAGGAACAGAAACTGATCTCTCCTATCACTGAAGGTATTGCACATTCAGGGAACTACAAACAAATGGCTTGTTTGATGCTTACAAGAGTGGAAATGACACTCCCCTAATTGAGACTGAATCCCTGTGTGTTGTACTTTCACAGTCCTTAAGCTTCAATAATGGGGGTAGGGTGTGGGTCTCATTACAAGACCATCCCTGCATAACCCAGCTGGCCAGGGAAAGCACCATCCAATGGGGTGTTTGATTAGGGAAAGCAGAGCATGCTTAGCACAATTATCAGGTTTAAGGCCAAGGACTGAAAAGGGGGACTGTATCTTAGACCTAGAAAGAACACAAAAGTCCATCTCCCCCGCCCCAACCCCCTTCTGGTGACTGGAGGGTGACTAGCTGCAGCAGGGACACTGACAAAGGCCTGGAATAAAGCATTATGTCAGATGTGTGGATTCAAGCTGTTTAGTCAGCTAGTTCTGTGGCTTGTCCACTTCGTCACTTGCAGGAACTCCACCCATGGCCACACCACCACCAAGCGGGTGCTCAGATTTGTCATGCAAAACCAAGCACTCCCTGCACACTGCCTTATAGGAGCTGGTGGGGTGGATTTCTCAGCCCATTTGGGAGGCTTGGCTGCCAGTGACAAGTACCTCCTGGAGCTCTGCACTCCTCAAAGACTCCAGACCAGAGCACACCTGAGCTGCAGCTGCACTTCTCCTTCTGTAACAGCCAAAGAGGATCTAGTTGACATGGCAGCATCCCAGGGCTGGCGCTGCCTCGTATTGCTGCTCCTGCTGCTCTGTGACCCCGCTCGCTTGTCCAGGGTGTCCGTGCGGACGCAGAGAAAAGGGATTCTCGCCGAAGCCATGCGGAGACTGCAGGAGGTCTTTGACATTGAGGCCCTGCCCCATGATGTCCTGCCTCACAGGAAACCACCCCAGTTTATGGTAGATCTTTTCAATAAGGTGGCAGATTCCAATGGGATCACGAAAGCCCCAGGGCTGCTGGAGGGCAACGTGGTGCGGAGCCTTGAAGACCGAGGTAAGCCACAGAGAGGGAGAAGATGGGGGAGAGGCTGGATAAGTGGGACAAGACAAAGCTAGGGAGGCAAATTCACCCCAGTGTAACTCCACTGAAGCTAATGGGTTTGTGGGGAGAGCAGGGCTGTATCGGGGGGCGGGGGGGGGGAGGGAGAGTGGGGGATTAAGAGTGTGCAGATGTGTACGTGTGTAGGAATGTGGAAGGGTGTTGGGTGATGTAAGGTGTTTTGTATATACCTGACCCCTGTAGATTAAACTTTTATATGGAAGCCTTTGATACAAACTCATTGCTACTTAGTGAATGTTGGGTGGGGGGTGGGGCATTCTGAATTCAAAATAAACATAGGTCTGATTTTTTTTTTTAATTCTTTTAAAATATCCCATGCACAGAAAATTTAATTTGCTCCATTTTATTAGATGCCTGGCTCTTGCATGGTTATATGCTTTTGGTTTGCTCTGAAGACCTATTTTTAATTCTATTTTCACTTCAGTGTCCTATGTCTATCACTGTTTTAACACACACATTTGAGTAGTTCTTTCTGTTACTGCAGGTGACATATTGCCATTTCCTGGAAAATCAGAGTATTCTTTCTGTGTCTTGTATGTTGGACTGGTTATTAATAATCCTGTTGTTTTTTTCTAGATTATTTTGATCAGTCTTATTTCTACTTCAACATCTCTTCGGTTGGGAGGAATGAACAAATGCTAAAAGCTGAGCTCCGAGTTTTCAAACTAAATAAAAACCATGTGCCTCAAAAATCTTTTTGGCAACATTTTCTCAAAGTAAGTGGGCGATTATATTATTAACAATAATAACAAATGAATAATTAATCGACAGATAGTGTCTTTAAGCTAACAAAGTTAAAAAAATCAAGCATGAAAGAAATGAGACTGAAACCAACTACCCCATGAAACTATCCTGTGTTTTATGTGGTTACTGCCAGCAATGTAGAAGTTTCATCTATTTCTTTGACTCCAACAAGCAAAGAAATACAGCCAGGGTTTTGGTTTTGTTGCTATGCTATTTTTTTTTTCCTCTGAACTTTTTTCAATGAAACATCAATGCTGCCAAACAATCTACTGATTTATCTGTGCAAAAGCAAACAGGACAGTTCGGTGATCCTGAAGGTGAGCTCAAACCACAGCCAAGCTATCCCAGATTTTGAGATATTTGCAATCCAGATCCAAATTCTGCAGCTCCAGTCCATCTCGAGGGAATCAGGTGGCCTTCGAACCCAATGGGCAAATATGTGGGGCAATAGGAAACTTGGGACAATATCAAGTAGTCAAAAGAGACAAAAAATAGATGGCCAGGTGATTTTCCATTTGCAGATATTTGTTTTTGTGTGGCTCTTAGTACATGAGATAATATCCAAGTGCTGAGAGAATATTCACTGTTTTTTGTTTTTGTTATGTATATTTTCATTATGATTACCAGATATACAGGTTCTTATTTATTACTTACTCCTAAAAAATTACTAAAGATTAGGGGTATATATCTATCGAGGGTTAGAGATATAGATAGATCTATCTGTAGGTATCTAGTAGATGTACATTACTTCTTGCCCTTATGTGAAGCTGACCAGAAGCCACTTTTTAGTCTCAGTCCAGGTCAACAGACAGGGTGAATCCATCCTGGAAGTGGAGGAAACGTGTTTCTTTGATGCTGACCTCTTTGCGGGAGACAATCAATTGTTCCCCATTTAATTTTGTTTTGTTGTATTACCATATTCAAGGTGGATGTGTATGAGCTTTTGGACAGAGGAAGTAAGCTGCAGAGAAGAAATCTCATTTCATCCAGACTACTGTCTTTGTATACCGAAGGCTGGGAGGTGTTCAATGTCACGCAGACAGTAAGCAGAGAATTCTTAATTCCGTTGTTTTTTATGCTAAAGATATTGTAACAAATTCATGGCCATGGGCTAGGAACTTCATGGTTGCCACTACGCTGGATACCAAAACTTCAGGGCATTAGCAGAGACAGAACCGTAAATTCTCTAGCTCCAAAGCCACAAGCCTGATAACCTGAGCTTATTAACTGGTAGCAGCGTACGACCTGCAACAGCCAAATGACCTTAACTCTGCTCATAGTAACAACATACAATAACTACATAATTATGATTAAAGCATTTTAATGTTTGCAGTCCCAGGGTAGACGGCATCAATTTCTTAGGAGAAATTGGTTTTTCATTTTCTTTTTATGCTCATGGCATCACTACAGGGCAGAGTTAAGGTTATTTAGGGCTTTAGCTTTGTATTTTCCATACCTTAATGTCTCTAGATCCTTATAAATGTAACCTTAACTCTAAATCTCTTTGGTTTGTAATACATGTTTTGGAGATGCCCTTAAATTATTGATATGTGCTCTCAACCTTATCTCCAGCTGAACCTGTGTTTTTGGTCTGGGGAATTTCACTTAAAAAACAAAATTAACCATCTGATATCAGTATAGATTTGCAACTCATTACTATCAGCCTTATATAATTATTTTATTTTATCTTTAAGATCAGATTCACAAGCATGCTGTGGCTGACTGGTTGAATTACCTCTGAGGTTACAATGGCCTGAGCTAAGAATGACCTGAGCCAGTGATTTAGCTTTACCTGTTAGTCCACAATCATAATAGTCAGATTCAGCAATTGTTAATAATTTAGCTTGATTGCTAATTTCCTCCGATGTAGCCTGTGTGTGAGATTTAAATGAGTTTTAACAATATGGAAAGTCTGGAGTCTATATTATTCCATTATTAAGACTACTTGGGAAAAGAGAGGTCTGACAAAGGGTTCTAAATTCCTGGCAAGGATCAATTTTAAAATTAATTTTGACTCCTAGATTAATCAATCAATGTACTAGTAAATTCTCCAAAAAATAATTCTGTATTTAAAGGTAAGGGCTGTGGTTCTGGGGAAGTTACACTGTATGCTTCGTACAGCACAAAGATGGTGAGTTCCTGGTTTAAGTACAAAACTCAGTTTAACCTTAACTAGGCAGTTACAACTATTGTCTTCATAATAATATAATATGTCCCGGCAATCTTTTAGCCTATTCCTTCTTCCCCCATATAAACATTGCTTAGTCCTAATGAGATAGACTTACTCAAATGATCCTTTCCACTTTTCTTTTTTGTTCCGAGGTTTCCAAATGGGTGGGACACAGCAGCACTAACCATGGCTTTTTGATCACTACAACTCATCTATCTAAAACCAAAATGGAATCCAACTTTGTCAAGTTTGCCAAGAGCCAGCACAATATGCGAGACAGTAGGAATGCTTTCTTGGTCCTCTTCACCAATAATGACAGACAGAAATCTTCCAGCTTCCTACCCTCTTCCACCGGTAAGATAATGCAACAGTAACTCTTTGAACAGAAGCTCCCTTTAATTAGTTCTGTTACTTCCTCATGCATTTTCTGCAGATAGTTGCATTAGTCACAAGCAGGTTCTGACACTGAAACTGATTCTGGTTTGCCACTGTCAAAAGCTTGCTTTGATATAATCATTTTATTATTTGCCTCCTGTAGTGGGTCACCAGACATCTTAGGCCAGGTCTATAGTAGGAGCGCTTTGCTGGTATAGTTATATTAGTATTCTATACAGGCAAATGTAGTTTGGAGGCAGTTTAGACCAGCAAAACTGAAGCTTATTCCAGCCCCACCGTGAGCGAAACAAATTATACTGACAAAAGTGCAGTTTTTCCTGGTATATCTGCATCAACACTAGGTGCTTTTGCCAGCACAGCTATGTCAGTCACAAAACACAACTCATCACATCCCTGACCAACACAAGTATGCTATGCCAGCAAAAGTTTATAGTCTTCCATCTATAGTCCTGGCCTAAGTATGTCTTCTCTTCATGCCCATCATTCTAGTCAAAGGTGTAGAACCAGTGACTTCCAGCCTATGAGCATGCAATGTCAACTCCACCAATATATGGAGTTCTGGACCTCATGGGATGCAAGGTAGTGCTGGGGAAGAGGACAAAAGATGATAGGGAGGGTAGCAAGCAGAAGGAGGGAAAGCAGATATATACACTTGAGGAAGGGAGAGAAGAGGACCAGAAGGGAAGACGGGCTGGAAATGTCACTCAGATTTGTGTGTGTGCATGTGCACGCTCGTGTCCACTATACAACTTTTTAGTAAGTTAAAGAAAAAAATTGGAATTTATACTACAAAGGTTTCCTATTTATGAAATGCATCTCCCACAAAAAATGTGCTGGCTATGAAGCTAAGGTTGCAGGCTCATATTGGGTTTCAGTGCATATTACCTTTCAAGCAGATAAACAACAAACATCATAACACAAACAAAAATGAGAACCCAGGAAATGCAGAGGTAAGGTTTCCCTTCTCAAACAAGGCACTCAAGCCACCTTAACTCTGCCCCTGTAGAGAGATGTTCATTCCATCTTTCCTTCTTTCCCTGTAGACTATTGAAAGCATGCTTGAAAGAACGTTGGTTTTTATCTTTCATTTCCCACAATCATGTCTTTAATACTAAGTGTGATGATTTGTCACTTCTTATGTATCTAACATCCTGACAGGGCCATAAGCAGTTAGCAAACGGAAGTGTGCAGAATCTGTATTCTCTATTTGACAAACCTCCCAGGGTACCTCAGAGGGGAATGCTATTGCTGCAAGTTACAAATCCTCTCAGGAGGTCCACAGAGAGAAGGGACTCGGTGAGCACTAAGCTTGAGGGACAGAAGATCAGGAAGGCAACCCCTTCACTCCTATGGAACTTCTGAGGTCCGCAAAAGCCCGTGGAGAGACTAAAGAGGCTTCTTGGCCCTTCACTCAGGAGGCTCGGGAACCCTGTAGCACTCTTTTATCCAGTGCCAAGGTTCCCTTAGGGTCTGAGTTACAATTTTAGGTCTATCTCTGCAAGGAAAAGGAAGTAGAAAACTTTTAGTTGTTTTATTTAAGTAAGAAAGGGACCTGCTAAGGAAAAATATATTGTGTTTATACCTATTTTTTCTTCTTTGACTCATAATAAAAGCCAAAAGGGTGTTTTGTTTTGTTTGTTTAAAAAGGGGGAAGGGTTCTGCTTCTTCTTGATTTACATTAGACTTGCAGGTCCTGTCTGGGCTGGAAGATTCTACATGACTGGAGAGCTTATGCAAATGGTGATATCACAAAATGGAAGCTCAGCTGTCCAGAGGGAAGGGGGTTTTTAGTCGGGCAGTTTAAAACTTTTTTTTTGCTTTTGCTTTTTCTTTGTTTTCTAAAATGTCGATTTAACTGCAATGACTAATTGACGCTTTGAATAAGGGAAGTTTTTGTTGACTGTTCAATACCTCACCTCTTAAATTATAACAAACATTCCTTACACCTCCCACTGATCCTCCACCAGAGCTAAGGGAGATTAGTCTTTGCAGTCCTGATACGTCCAAATAAATAAAACTTAAAAATAAACTTTCCAACCTTATTTGTACACCAGAAAGGACCCAAACAAGACAACATTGTGCTGGCTCATGAGAACCAGACAGTGAAACTGACTAGAAACAAAAGTAAAACAGACCAGCCTAGTGCCAAGTTTACAGTGAAATTCCGGCTCCCTGTCCAGTAAAAGGACTTTATGTGGTGGCTTGGAGACAGAATCCTGCTTCTCAGTGTAGGGAACCTTTGCCCCATCTACAATTTGTGGTCAATAAATCTGGGCAGTCCATGTTTCTCTGGTTCTCTCCGTTTCTGCTCCACCTTCCTATACAGAGACACAACCAGACTTGGCTCTGTAGTGCAGGGAGCTGTGCAGTCTCCAATACTTTCACTATTTCCTGACCCTTTGTTTTGTATTTTCAGTGCTTTTTGGGCCTTGCATGCCAAGCTGAAGCGAGACACATTCAGACTGGAAATAAGGCATACATTTTGAACAGTGAGGATAATGAATCCTTGGAACAACGTACCAAGGGTCATGGTGGATTCTCCATCACCGGCAATTTTTAAATCAATATTGGATTTTTATTTTTTTTAAAGATAGGCTGTAGTTCAAAAGGAACCCTTCTGGAGGAGTTCTCTAGACTGTGTTACCCAGATCAGACTAGCCCAGTGGCTCTCAAATGTTTGTACTGGTGACCCCTTTCACACACCAAGCCTCTGAGGGCGACCCCCCTTATAAATGAAAAACACATTTTAATATATTTAACACCATTACAAATGCTGGAGGCAAAGCGGGGTTTGGGGTGGAGGCTGACCGCTCGCGACCCCCCATGTAATAAGCTCACGACCCCCTGAGGGAGTCCCAACCTCCAGATTGAGAACCCCTGGACTAGATGATCACAATGGACCCTTCTGGCCTTGGAATCTATGACTCTATGAAGAAGACCTCAGGATTTGGTCCTGAGGGAAGTGCAGCTTAATGTCTAAGTATTTAAGATTTATAATACTGTCATTGTCTAAGGCTATGTCTACACTATGAGCTGGTAATGTGATCCCCCTGCCTGTGTATACATACTCACACTAGCTATCTTTGAGTAGCAGTGTAGCTACAGAAGCACAGATAGCACGGTGGAGACATGACTAAGCCATGGGTAGCATGCAACTACCTGCACTATTGCGGCTACCCTGCTATTTGTATTCGTGTTCGCTCAATGAAAGCTCGCCTATGTGTACCCGAACAGGAGCAATCGCACCCCTTACTCATAGTATAGATGTACCATAAGTGTCATTGTCCTTTCCCAGTTTTGTTTAAATCTGTGTGTTTCATGAGGACTATCTCCTTTGAGAGCAATAAACTCCTCCCAACGTATAGACAGAAATACAGTGTTCTTCATGACAAAGGTTTACTTACCCCTGTCATGTCCTCTTGCTTTCAGAATTCCAGCCATCCTCGCCTGAAGATGATACTTCATCACACCTACCTCACCAAAATGAGGTCTTTGCAAACATCAGAGTGAACAAAAGCAGAAGAATTCGGGATACCTCTTCCTTCTCCCACAAAGACAAAATTGTGCCATGCCAGCTCAATGATCTCTTCGTCGACTTCCATAAAATTGGTTGGGCGGGGTGGATCATTTCCCCACGTGGCTACAAGGCTTATTATTGCAAAGGGGCCTGCCTGTTCCCCTTAGGGGAAAGTCTAAGAGCGACCAACCATGCTACCGTCCAGTCCATAGTGCATACGCTGAAACTGACCAAAGACGTCAGCACGCCGTGCTGTGTCCCAGACAAACTGAGTTCCATCAGTATTATGTACTTTGATGACAATGAGAATGTTGTCCTTAAGAATTATAAAGACATGGTGGCCACAAGCTGTGGTTGTCATTAACAAGAGCCCATTCTGCCTGCAACTGACTCGCATCTGGACTCAGTGCACCCGTTCTCCACAGCCCCAGTGGTGCTGGAACAACTTCTAAAGTGAGGGTGCTGAAGGCGGATACCATGTATTTGGGTTGTTATTGCTACATCAAGCCAGGGGGATGATAGCACCCCTAGTTCCAGCACCTATTCACAGCTCTTGTGATGTTCAGATTAATAACATGTCAGATCAGGGGGGAGCCAGCCAGTCAGCTTTGAAAAGGCTCCACCTCCAGGCTCCACCCATGGGACAGCAGCTGAGAGGAGAATGCTGCCAAATTCTACAGACCTGCTGACTTTTCAAAGGGTCCCATGCTGCCTGGCCTGTGGTGACAATGCAGGGAAGGTGTGGGGGGTGTTTCTGTATATACAAACCAGTGGGACAGAGCGGAACTTGGTTTAATCAGGGCTATAACGTAAAACCCTGAGCATTTTAGCAGAACCATTGTTAGAAAATACCTCTGTTTGGTTAGAGTCTCGTTGTTGGAGCAGGGAGCCAGGATTCTTGGCTTCTTTCCCAGCTCTGGGAGACAGAGACTGGGAGCCAGGACTCCTGGGTTCCATCCCTAGCTGTGGGAGGGGAGTTACGTCTAGTTGTTAGAGTGGGGAAAGGGGAGTCTGGAAGTCAGGACTTCTGGGTTCTATTCCCTGCTTGGAGTAGGGGGCATTCTCTGCAGCTGGTTCTCAGGCCAGGCCAGGCCCACTCCCAGTCTGCATATTTGTCCATTTCCCAAGGAGCTGGGCCTCTGTAGACTGCTCCTCTACGATTAGTGTCCTTCACAGCCACTATGACACTAAACTATAGAGACCCCCAAAAGTCCTCCAGGACACTAACAGCACATTCCTCCCCCAGCCCAGGAGATCTGGCGACTATGCTTTAGGCAGGGGCTCTATGGTCAAGTGTGTCTGTGGGCGGATTCAGAGAGTGGGCTGGAACCTGGAGGTGGGAAGGGAAAAGAGAGGAGCTAGGGCAAGGGAACCAGGCATGGGGGTGGGAAGAGAGAGATTTTATGCAAATGAAATAATACATATTTATCAAATATGGCATTGCTCTATTTGCATAGGCTCCAGATTTGCAGGCCTACAGTCCTATAGGGCAGGTCCCACCCAAGTACCAACGGGTCCCCGACAGTGCTGGACAGATAGTGGAAGAGCCGTTCCTCAGCCTTGATCCAACGCCTGCCTGGGACACCAGCTCCCGCATGGGCAGTTGCCCAGCACGGCCCATTACTCTCCCCTGACACCTACCGTTTCTGAAGCAAGAGGGAGACAGACCATGGTGCTCAGGCTGCAGGAACAGCTTTTTCTGCTGAGTGTACATGGCAAATATCTGCTATGTCTTGGTGCCTTTTTCCACTCTGTCACATGCTCTGGACCTGTGTATGTTAAAGGTCAACAATGCAGGACAGACATTAGAAATGGCAAAACACATTGTTAAGCAATATTGTAGTTTCTTCAAGTTCAACAGTAACTTTCTGGAGACGTCTGCTGCAGGGAGCTGGAGAAAATATTTATACTGTAAGGAACTATCTTTGTTTCTGTAAATAGCAACTTCTGCAATTAGCAAATTGCCAAATTGTTTTTACTGTATTAAATGAATGTGTGGAATATTTTTAATTAATCTGTAATAGAGTAATTTAATTTTCCAATACAATTATGAAATACGTCTTCAATGTATGTTATTGCAATGTTATTACATTGGTCAGTTTCCCTTCTAAGGCCTGGTCCAATGCTCACTGAAAACAATGGACACATTCCCATTGCCTTCAGTGGGTGCTGAATCAGGCCCTAAACTCCCATGGCAAAACTGAATAAACAAAACAAAATATCTATCCCTATGCACCTGATCCCATAGTCGTTATTCAAATAAAACTCACACTAAAGCTTGCTAGGATTTTTGCCTGAGTACCATCAGCAAGCTCAGATCCACGGGGATTAGCCCCATTCACTTTTCGTGCCGGTGCCTATCTGAGTCCCAAGCTACACTTTTTGAAAGATTGTTTCAGTTTGTTGGCAAGTAAAGTTCTTAAGGACCAAAAGCCCAGTTGTGTTTCTATATTATACACTCCCAGGAATATAGAGTTGTATGAAGCTATTGCAATTACATTAACAGATCCAAATTGTAAAGACTCCTGCTTTTTAGAGCCATAGGGTTAAAAGAGACCACAAGTGTCATCTAGTCTAACCCCCAAATGTAGCTCAAATTCACGCCCATTGAATAACTTATTCTGTCATCCATCTAGAAGGCCAATGCGCAACCCATTAAACCACAGAGCCTGTCAATAAAGTGTATAAACTTCAGAGCATAAAGTGATTCCCACCTTGCGTCAGAAAGGCATCTGCTCTTATGGTACAGCGCCACGTGATTAGATGGCCAATTCAGCCCTGGTGTAATTCCACTGAGGACAGTACAGGCCAGATTTCCAAAGGTGAGCTGCCTAACTCATTGAAATCAATGGGAGTTAGGCACTTACAATGCTTTTAAAAAGAATACCTCTGGTAATCCGGCCCTATGTGTAATTACACTAGGAGTGACTTTGACCTTGAATGTTTTATACCTTCCTCTGAACCACCTGGCCAAGGCCACTCTCAAAGGCCAAAGGCTACCATTCTCAGATCTCCATCTTTGGAAAACTATTAAAGTGAGCCTGTTTGGCCCCAGAGGTAGCTGCATGCCAGTGTTGGGTGAAATGATTCCTAATACCTTTGCTGCAAAAGACATGTTTGATGCGCATTTTGGAGAGGGTTGAGGATTGCTTCCCAGAATGATGATGGGGCAAAAAGGAGCTTTTTTTGCAGGTGACTGCATTCCTGTTTGAAAAATTAATTTCAGTGCTGCTGGGACTTTCCTGTATTTATTATTTCGGCTGCAAGCTCTTTGGCACAGGGACTGTCTTTTTGTTCTGTTTGTACAGCACCTGACACAATGGGGTCCTGGGCCATGACAGCCCTCTGCAGTACAAATCATTTAAAATAATGATTACTTGGTAAGGTGCTAAAATCTTGCCTAGGCATCTTTTTATTAGTTAAATATAAATTAATTAAATAAAATAATATAACATTTGGAAAGTGCTTTGAGATCCCTTGGAATAACATTCAATATGTAAATATGTTATGACACTTTAAATAGGAACAAGCAGAGACAATGTACAGGGGGTTAAAGTAAGAGGCGAGCTCCTGCTTCTCTACCTCTCCCTGATGGAGAGAGCAGGAGTCTCTTGGAGTTTTCCCTCCTTCCACCTCCTCACTGGGTTTGCCAACTCACCAGGCTTGGGAATCTGAAGTGGGAGCAGCAGATGTCGGTGCCTAGTAGCAGCTACTGAGGGCTCCCAGCCTTCCCACCCGTGCGGGGAGAAGTAGGAGCCCTTGACAGGGGAAGAAGAGGTGTCCCAGCAAGGAGATCCCAATTCACTTCTTCTCTTAGAACGGTCTTTCTCCTTGCTGGTTCCCCCACCCTCCCAGGATGAGAGGGGAAGAACTAGAATCTCTGCCACTGGTTCCCCTTCTCCTGTGAAGGCAACAAAATGGTCCAAGGGACTTTATTCCCTGTCCTGGCACCCTACATTGGGGGGAGGGGCAGTGACTGACTTCAGGAGGGATGAGAAGGGAGAATGGGAGTTTGTGGAGATGGGACTCAGAATGGGAGTGAAATTGGGAGGGAGTGGAGGTTGGACACCACTGGCAAAGAGGAGAACTGCCTACTACTTTATCCAGCTAAGGGAGTTACTCCTTTAGCAAGTGAAGTCTGTGGTTTGGTGCTGGAGGTCTCGGTTTCAAACCCTTGCTGCTGACTCATAGACATTCGTGTGGCTGCTTGTGGGCCTGCTTGAGAACCCAAACTCCTTTCAGATACTGTACATTTCTTCTCCTGCCAATGTTCTCTTCCCCTTCCTGTGCCCCAGCACCACAAGATGGTCCAATGCTGCATCACCACGTAAAGTTGAGACTCATGACAATAGCCAGCAAGATGGGTAAGCTCCCTATCCTAATATATATATTCCTACACACAAAACACTGTTAACTTAAAGTTGCTGTTTTTTTTCTCTTTTAGGGTTTTATAGCACTGCCCATCACCATAGTATCTGGGTGCCTTCCATGTAGAGACAATAGCAGCAGCGAAAGCCTTCCTGGAGTCTCCGGCTCTTCTCCATTTTTGGGTAAAAATTTGGTTTGGGGTAGGGTTTTTCTTTTCAAGTTAGATTTTATTGCTGTAGAACCCCTATTTTATGAACTAATAGTGGATTGAGGTGTTCGTAAAATCAAAAAGTGCATAAAATTTAACACCTCAAAACTACAGGAGTCCTGGTGCATAGGTTGCAGTCTGGTGCACTGCATTACTTTTTGCTTGTCCTTCAAACCACTGCAAAGGGCTTTCCAATGCACCAAAGGCATCGGAATGCGAAGGGATGTTGACTTGTTCTTTGTCACCGCTGCCGGCATTATGTGTTTGGTTTTTTTCTTGCTGAAAAAAATGATTCTTATAACTGGTCACTTGTAAGATTGGTGTTTGTAAAACTGAGGTTCCGCTGTAATATCTTCCTCTCTTTTTTATTGGTAGGGATGATTGGGCTGTGTCGGTGTTAGTGAGTGTCGTTCTTATGAGGGAAAGGCTGTTTGTGATGAGAAAATTCTTCCAACTATAAGGCTAGCACTAAAAACCTGGGAACCCATGAGTTTAGACAATATCTGCACGCAGCACAATAGAGATCTCCATGCATTAGCCCAATGCCACCAAGAGATATAAGCACACAAACACACTGAATGTGGCCCCCTAATGCAATCACTTTCAATTCAATAATATCCCTCAATGCGCACATCAAAGAGTCACCTGGTTCCTCTGGGACATCTTTATGGGGCCCCTGTTGATTCAGGTGACAGAAAGAAGAAAGTTTTCTATTAAAGAGCAGATATAATTAATAAGAAAGTGATGGCATAGCTGAATACTAGATAATACAGTTCTGTGCCACAACAGGTGAAATATGCACAGCAAGTTACCGCCACTCAGTTCTTTAAATTATTTTTTTTCTGCACCACTCAACATAGTTTCATTATGGCTCATTAAACACTGATAATTAAAATAAAATATATTGGAATTGTTTATCCTGGACTTCGTAAGGAAATGAGGTTCATAATAATGCTGAGGGGAAAATGAGAACTGCTCCAGGACTTGTAATTAGAATAACAATTACACATAAGTTGGCTTTTATTTTTTTAGTAACAAGGTGAATTTCTTGTTGTTAAATAGCTGTATTAAGTAAGAATTCCAGAATAAGAATTGATGGATTTTGGAGCATTGGTTTAGTTTCAACATTTGAACCAGGCATGTGTTTACGTGACCTAATCAAAGAAGTAGCAGGAGATTTGAAGGGAATGTGGATCTCTACCAGAGTAGACAGTATGGAAAAGGGCTGTGACTCACTTGGAGTCTACCTATATCTATTATTATTATTATTTATTAATTTGAATTACCATAGCATCTAGAAGCCCCAACTCTTAATGGGACTCCATTGTTTTAGGCACTGTTTAAACCCATTGTAAGAGACAGCCCCTGCCCTGAAGAACTTACATTCTAAATAGACGCAGAGGGATTGAGGGTGAGATCCAAAATGGGATTTAGGCATTGTGGTGCTCAGCATCACAGTGCCTAACTTTTAGGCATCTAGGAAAGGCACCCAGAAGACCACTGCAATTCACCAAGCCTGATTTAGATGGCTAGGATAATAAATGGGAAGACATAGGCATCTAAGAACAGGATCCACAAAAGCCACCACGCTAGGCGGGGAGCCGTCTAAATTAGCCAATGGGAGATGCTGACCAGAGGGGGATGTGCTATGCCCCACCCCCTCACACAGATAGGCGCTTAAATCCAGGGTGCAGGAAGGCCCTGAGCTCTGCTTAGCGATCCACGAATGGGAACTTGCTGCCTGGGGTCAGGAGGCTTAGGTGCCTCGGCTATTTTTGGGGACATGAATAAGGTCTTCTGCCTTGTCCATACAAAATGGGTAGAGGTGGCAGCCGTAGTGGCGGAGCTACCTATCTGATGAGTTACAGTCCTTACCTGGGATGTAGGGGATCCAGGTTCAATTCCCTCCTCTCCCTGAGGGGACCAAGTATTTGAACAGGGGTCTCTCTTGTCTCAGAAGACTCC